TTCCATCAGGTGAGAAGCGGATGCTGCTCACAGGTTTGTGAAAGTGGAAATGATGAAGGATGGCTCTGGTGATGAGACTGACCAGCACCGCTGCACCATCTGTTTGACACAAACATGATCAGACACGCTTGGATTTTGTTCTCGTCCGAGTCCTGAAGAAGACCTTAACTGTAAATATTTTGTACCTTCATCCACAACGATCGCCAGGCTCCCATCAGGAGAGAGACCCACACAGGTTATATTCTTTGTCGTGGAGAACGGCAACGTCTCAGACGTGTTGCTGCAGGGCAGAGATTAAAAACACATCAGTCTTATTTTCATTATTTTTAAGATAAGGTGACTTTAAAGGTTACTTACTATGCTTTTTCTTACTTTATGACATATATGAAATGTTTATGTGTGCAAATGTAGACAAAGTTTCAAATAAGAAAATAATCCTACCAATAGCACAAACTTTACCTGGAGCCCCTCTGCAGGCTTCCAGAAGTTGGCAAATTAGAGGAAAAATGTGCTTTTAGGCAGGAAGGGATAAAGATGTCAAGTGACAGAAGCCAAAAGGGCAAAGGGTTCAGAAGAGAATCATGCAAAGCTACTTCAGTGTAGATTTATCATGACAAATACAACTTTTAGATGCAACTGAATGGAAAATATAATTTATTTTTCATTATCCTACCCCACCTGCACACTGAAACCTATACTGCAGCACAATCAGTTGTATTTTAATGTGGACACCATGAAAAAAAAAAGTCCGAATACTTTTAAGTGACCACAAAAAACAGTGCATGCAACTCTTCTCTTTGCAGATCCAATAACATCTAGACGCTGGACACTGCATCCAGATGTTGTAGGACAGGACTTTACAGATAACCCTTTCCTGTATGTGTCCTATACCACTGTTTGTCTTACTTCTTCAGGTCGAAGACAGAGATTCTGTTCCCAACTGGACTGATAACAACGTTGCCATCTCTGGAGAAGTTCAAATTTCCCTGGCGATAGACTGCGCCGAGCAAATTGGAAAACTACAAAATAAAAAAAAGTGATTTTACTTTTGATCATCAGCCAAGTGTATGCAGTTCCTGTCAAAACGTGGGAATTCAACACATTCAGAGGCAGATTCATTAAACTGTATTAAAACACAGACACACACGCACAACTAAACCGATATTTTGTTATTATATACACAAGCCGAAATAATTATGAATGATATACCATTGAAAGCAAAAACACTTGAATGTTTACAGCACTTCCAACATCGAAAAACCTATTAAATCTAAAACTTTTTAAATGGAGTTTGGTCTGACACGCATTCCCGCTACCAAAGCATCGCGATTATAGCAAAGTCGCTAACAGCAGCGCACTTACCCTATAAGCAAACTTCATTTTACTAAATATTCATTAACTTCAGCACATTAATCTTCTTTTTAACTCTTTATAAGTCCCAGGACTATGAACGTGAGACCAACATGCTTCTTCTTCCTCCACACGTGTGATGCGTTTTGTTGACAGTCGACACATCCGGTTTGAGTTGACTTGGAAAACTGCACGGCGCCCTCTGGTGACAAGGAGGTTAAAGTACAAGGTTGTAACATAAAAAAGGGGTTTGACTACATGCATAGCTCCCCCCTTCATAACATGTGTATCCACCTGTATAGACCAGACCTTTTTTTAGAACTCATAAATCTGGATGGTGACAAATAATGTTGGACTGTTGATGTAGATGTTGGAGGTGACTGTGTTATCTGTATTATTTTAATAATATTAATGTTTTTTAATCAGTCATGTTTATGCAACTAAAGATCATTTTGGAAGTAGAGCAAGATAGTATATGTGCTAGATGTCATTATAGCACATATATAGAGTTATTTAGTCTTTATCCTTCAGATGGCAATTACTCCACAGTGTTGTTAGAGGAGGCGAGAGTATCTTCTCTGACACTTGTAATAAACTGCTTATATTACCAGTTTATTTCTCAGTTGGGGACTCACACCCTCAATTTATCTAAGTTAAAATCAGACACATGGCCATTACCCCGCATGGTTGCACACCGACGTGTTATTCTCAAGATGGGATTTCTGAAGGGAGACTTATGTAAGTATTGGTCACTGGCAGAGACAGTATTTGACCAAGTATCCCAGAGGACGATGTTCAGCTTAAAATAAATATGCAATACTTCTTACGAATAAAGTAAACAAATTCTAAAGCTATCTTAAAGGTACTTTTTATGATTAACACTGGCAGAATTTGACTACATCTTTTACCACTGGGGGCAGTGTTTCACTAGTGGTTTTCATTACCTGTGCTGATGCGTAACTTATGACAACCTGTTTTTTTTTTGTTCTCCCCATTTCCCCAAGGTGGCTTTATCTTTTCCCAGGTCTTTGTGGTTAATCTGCTTTTTAAATAACACCGGGTACAATATTGGTAATATGTGTGTTGTTTTCTTTATCTTTTTTTTTTCACTGGAAAGCACTTTCGTCAACCATGTTGCTTTTAAAGTGCTCTATAAATAAAGTTGGATTGGATTTTAAAATAAAAGTTGAGCTGATTTTAATGTATTACAAGGAGTGTTTTTCATTATTATTTTTTAAATAAACATACAGTGTTTATATTAAATGCTGTACTAGGATTAAGCTCAAGGATGATAAAAGGTCATGTGATTTTGTTGCTTTCAATTTGTATGCAGCAAAATGAAAAACAAGTTACCACATGTTGTTTTTTAATTTGGTAAATAATTGATAAAATGTTAAAGTGGATCTGACAGCGGTGGATGGCGAGCCATATTGACTCACAAACCACAGCTGACATGAGTTGGATATAAACAAAGTATATCATGTAAATAAAGTATATCAGCCAACATACTGGACACTGTTCTGCTGAACAAACACATATTATCCAATATTGTAGCTGGTGTTATTTAACCCTCTGAGGTCCAGGGTATAATTGGCCGTTTTTGACTACTTTTGATTTTACCTCTACATTTCAACTTTAAAAACTGTTTATCTTGCCTTGTCATCATTATTTGTTTATCATTATTTTCAGCACAACCTCAAATATCTGAAATTTGAGTTATTTTTTCATTTTGGCATACCATATTAGCACAATTGATATAATTTCAGACAAAAAATTAAAAATCAGAGTAGAAAAAAGTTATATTTTTTACTGTAAAACCCACAAACATGTTTAACAAATAATTTTCATAACTTGAAATGCAAATAGAAATCGTACATTTGTAAAAATTATGCACAAGTTTTGCAAACAACAAAGTTATAAGGTACTATTTACCTAAAAATGCAATCAAGGCCTCAGGCATTTTTTATATAACCATTTAAATCTATTTACAGAACAATCAGGTGTGTTGCATCAAATAAAAAGGTACACAAATTATTTGTGCCAGTCCGAAAAAAAAAATAGTTTGTTCAGTATAAGACAGAGGAGAACACCAAACCCTGCAGGTCTGACAGCAGGAGGTGCATCAGTCCTGTTTTCCATGTGGGAACAGCGTTTACACTGGAATCTGCCTTTGGTGGCTTTTTTGGAACAAATGTGACATTCACTAGTAAATCTGACACACAATACCAAACAATAACTACACAACACACTAACTACAGCCTCCAAACACGCTAAACGTCACTAATGTCGCTCTGAAAACTCTCTCTCTCTTTCTTTCGCTCGCCCGCTTTCCGTCGCGGGTGTCACTCCTAAAACGTCCCCCTCTCCCGAAACAACCAAGTGTCACATGTTGCCATATAATTTTTTGGATTGGCTGACATGGTAAATTTTAACACCAATAGGGAAGGGGTGTTTTTTTCTTTTTTCACTCGCAAGCGGAGAGTGTTTGCTGTCCACAGAAAACGCAGTTTTTTCCGTTCTTCCCGCTGTAAAAACCGCAGTTTTGTTCAGAAAAAAACATGGCGTGAATTTTTTTTTTTTTATCATAACTGGTTTTACGTGGCCCATCGATACAATTCAAAAACTGTCGACCCAAGTTGAAATGGAGACTCTGAGTTGCTGCATCTTGTAGCTGTGTAGTCTTAAATTGGTCATGTGATTTTGACACGCTGGTGCATCAGTCAACCCCAGAGGGTTAAAGGTGCAGTGTGCACAATCTCACCACTAGATGTCAGTAGATGTGCCACAATTCAATTTTGAGGCAGTGATTCTGCTCACAACTTTGCCACTCACTCTCACTTTGGGTTGTGTCTAACCCTCATCTCCTTGCCTTTTTTGAAGAATAATTTTCTTCTTTTTTTTGTGCAATTTATTTTCAATAACACGAGAGTCATCATTATGCTGATAAGGTGTGTTCAAGCCTTAACAAAATGAATCTACTTTTCATTGGCATATGGAGAGAAAAATAAGATAAAGATCAAGCTTTCTGCAATACCTGAAACACCAGCGGAGCTACTGAAAATCAGTGTCTCTGGTCAATATTAAACTATATACTATTGTGTGTATTTTGTGAGTGTAAAAAAAGAGAAATTACACTTTATTAATTTTCTTCTTGTCTGCAGGCCATTAATAATACATTTTAAGGTAGAAACGACGGGCCACCTACAGCCATGATTGGCCACAGGGGCCAGACTTTGGACATGCCTGGGTTACACTGACTCATTGCACCATCTTGTGGTACAAATTGTTATTACACAAAAAGTGCAGCATGGCTCTCTTTAAATGTACATACATAGACTTTAAGCCATACAAAATATTTGAAAGTAGAACTTACTGTTTTACATATTTTTCATTCTTACATCTTTCAGATCATCAGACAGATTTTAATATCAGACAAAGGTAACCTGAGTAAATTAAAAATTCAGTTTTTAAACAACGATTTCATTTATTAAAGCAAATTAACTCTATTAAGGGAAAAATTCTATCCAAACCTACCTGGCACAGCATTTTACAGTTTCAAGTACCCTTAATGATGTGTTCAACCAGGTGCTCACTTAAATAATCAGTTAAAATAAGAACAGAAAGATAGAAATATGTTACCCCTAAAACATCTTATTTTCCTAGTAAAAAGACATACAGCCTTGATAATAGTAGATTAGGACATAACTATTGCTGACTTTATGGCTCTTGTGTAGTTGTGTTTCTTAGCATGTTAGAAGTGCATGTCTTTAAATAAAACAATCCCAAAGGAACAAAAAAAATTTTTTAAACTGAAATTCAAGCGAGACAAATTTAAAACAGAAACTCAACATCAGTGACACACTTGGAACTTGTTCCTCACTGGCCTTCACACGATCCCTCCTCCTATCTATTTTTAATACCCTCAGTTAATAATAAATCAGCTGGCAGCTACAGTACACACACAGCACACGTGTAGAAATGCGCTGGTGCCAGTGGGAAACTGAAAATGATACACCACAAAGGTACGGATAGCACCAGGTTTATGTTTACATCTTTTACTGGATCACTTGGCTGCAGCTGAAGACATGATGTGTTGAGGCTGTCGGCAGGAGTGATAAACAGTCGCACTTGTATCACTTGTGAGAAAAAAAAGGCCTTTTTCACCTCAAGGTTTTATGCCAGAGATCAAAACAGGGTACCACATGCAGCCGGACATATTTCTGGCCCCCAGTCGAGCACTCCAGGCAGCCGTACACGGTTTCCCGCCGTTGGTTGCCCATCCCGCAGAGTGCGCAGGGGCCCTTGGGGATGTTGTGTTTGAGGAGGTTGACCCTTGTATGTGAGCTTTCCCTCAAGTAAGCGGTGGAAATGTCCGTCATGCTGGCAGCCTTCTCGTAGTAGTCGGTCACCATGTCGTCCATGTAGGTGTCAGAGTGGGTGAGCTCTTCGAATGTTCGATCATCTACACAGGGGTTGGATTAAAGTGGACTCAGTGTATCAGAAGGATGGGTCAGTTTATTTAATGAAAAATACTGTAATCATACCTGCTCTAAAGGGGTTTCCGTAGATGATCCCAGAGAGGAAGCGGCGTAGTCGCCCCATGGAGAAGCGACCAATGAAACCACCAAGCTGCTCCCTGATCTGCTCACGCTCAAAGCCTCCCTGTGACTCCGGAGCCACACAAATATCTGACACACAGGAAGAAGAAAACCAGGCGATGTGCGTTGTTTATTATTATTTTTGTAACAAATCAAACATTTCATTATTGACTTTGTATATCTCTAATAACAACTTAGTCTATGGAATGCTGGAGTAAGATTTGTTATGGTTTTGCTATGTTAAAAGTTTATTCTTGCTGCAGTATCAAACACTTCAAGAACTTTAGTAGTTGTAGTAAGGGGTGGCCAGTGTGGAGACTGAACCTGGTCTAAAAGTTCCTTCAATGCCTGGACATTAGCTTGGATGCTGTGTTCAATCACTCAAAAACATTAAATTCTTGTTTAAAACACTTTATGACTTCATTCCAAGACTTCAAATGTGTGTTCACTAGCTGGTACTGAAGTGTCAGAGTCCCTCTGTGATTTTCACTACAGGAACACAAGGAGTCACGCAGAACTAACAGGTAAAGTATCTGCCATCCGACACTTTATCCATTAGATAAAGTCCCAGAAATCCAGATGAGATTACAGGCGTTGCCCAGCTGAAATTCAGAATAATTTGTTTCTAGATGATTTCATGAAACGTGTTATCAAACCAATTCAGTAATTAACTGCTGGTATAGGATGTTTTTACAACCACCATCGTCCCAAATTGATGACAAGCTTCAAACACTCAAATAAATGTCACGCAGGCTCACAATTATGGTTTCAAATCATTTTGAGTATTTCATTTTTGACTGTTTCTGACCATTTAGACTTATTTCATCACTTACACTTCACATAGTTCTTCATACAGATTTTGTCACCTTACCTGTTGACCATAAGTTCACCTGCTTTCATAGTGACAGTTAGCCTGCAAGGCTTTAAAGACTAAAGCTAAAACTTCAAAGGGTCAGACACTTCAAAGCCATTTGAAGTGCTTCATCTCATAAACATGAATTAATTGGCTAATTAACGATTGGCATGGTTTGCCCACCTACCAAGTCGTCCATCCAGTCGAACAAAGAGCTCACAGATGCTGAAGGCGATGGTGGTGTGAGCTGGGATGACAATGGCCTTGTCTCGACCTTTGGGGTTTCTGCCGTCGTCAATCTGAAACTGGAGCAAAGCAGGAAGCTGATAGTTACACATGGAAAAGGCGGTTAAACGGAGAATTTGGGATTAGGTGAGGGAAAAATGATTGAGTTAGGACTCGTTATTTTGAGTAAATGATTGGGAGATGGATTGTTCACTGCCCTTGACGCATTTGTTTTAAATATAAGTGTTATGAATTTAAGCATGGCCCCATTACATACATAGAGACATAAAGTTTATTTCTATAGCAGATTTTCAGAACAACTTCAGCTGATCAAAGTGCTGTACACATTATGCCAAATACACATTAACGATTTACAATCACTAATTAAACTATAAATACACATACATAAACAATAAAAGTCAATAAAACTTATTTAAATAAACAATAATTCAAGTAAATAAGACTATTTGTGCAGTAAAAGCCAGGATACTGAGCTAAACTAGAACTGGCAGTGAGTGAAAGTAAGGAGTTTTATTTAAGAATATTTAAAAATATCTGTGAAGGTTCTCAGTCATCCAGGTCATCGTAGTCTAAGGAGCTTGGAAAGAAAAGCATCTGGACTTCTCTAAGTTTCCTTAAAGATGTTTCAACTCTCATCTGAGAAGCTTTTTCAGTTCTAAGCAACTGGTGGAGAGTCCCAGATTTTCAGCCATATGGGAACGTCCCCAAGAGGGTCATGGACCCCCTAATGATCCTTTATCTAACCACATGAGCCGAGGTGGGTCACAATCAGCCAAGGTTTTGGGTGAACCCATTGTGAAGCCTAGCCCCACCCTATCATGTGACTTACTGAGGTCAAATGGCCCAGGATGTGAGTGGGCGTTAAGACACATTAAAAATGGTTGAGTAATTGGGCAGCTCTTGTGTGAAAGAGTAAATTGTTCCACAGAATGGAGACAGCCACTGAAAAATCTAGTTTTTGAGGCTGGATCTAGGAACATTCAAGAGCAGTTGGTTTCCAAACATCAAGAGTGTAGGGCTTTAAAGGTTAAGTCAAGTAGGCTGGCACCAAATCACTGAGACTCTTAAAGACAAGTTTAGGTATCCCAGTAAAGGTGTAAAAGCATGAACTACTCTTTCTTCATCTTACCAAGGAAGCTTAATTTAAAAAACTCATCAAACAGCTAAAAAAAAAACTTATGAAAAGCCAGTAAACATTAATCTAATTCTAACCCTGGATGGGTCTTGGTCCTGGAGGGTGTTAAGATGAAACAACTACAGGTATTTTTACCCTCATGGTGGTCCCTCTCATGCCAGCATGCACGGTCAGAGAGCATTGACGCGTGGTGCGAATACTCTCCACGACAACACAGAGGACACTGCGTCCGCTCTCCTTTGACTGACGAATCAGGCAGTGATCCAGGTCCACCTTCCTGGAAGATCAAAAAATGAGAGCTTGAATTAAACATGAACTCATTAGCACCTGTTAAAGTCAAGCAAGGCAACATCTCTGGCTTGTATTGTCCAATTGCATGTAGCCCCTGTATGTATGTATGAAGGTGTAGAATAACATGATTGTTTATACAGGGAAACCCTCTTCTCACATTCTCCGTGTAACAAAGAGGTCGAAGGTCAGACAACTTATTGTGGACATAAGGAGAATACTTCAATGCAGATACCTGAAATATCCGATTTACAAAGTGCCATAATTTAAGAACTTTTCCTAGGGTATTTTATGCTTACTTTTCAAATTGATAAATAATTGAGTAAAGAAATATATCCTTCTACTTGATTATTAATAAAGCACTACCTCAAAGTAACTTCATCTAATCTGTATTGAGAAACTATCATGATATTGATGCTTTAACATCCAGCACATGTAGATAAAAGCCCCTGCTGAGCTGCTGTTATACCCTGTCTGTCAATGCATATACCTGGAGTTGAGTTCACGCAATAACGTTGGCACCTCCAGCTCGTGTTTGGTCACAATGCCAAAGGAGGCTTTTACAGCCACTGAGTCTGACCCACTGATGTTGAACCCCACATCATTGATGATGTGGTTCCCTAACCGACCATTGAGAGCTACATCAGATTTATCTTCGTAGTTGAGGAGTTGGTAAGAGGAAACCCCTGCAAAAGAAAACAATAGTTAACATTATGGTTAACTTATGCTTTTGTAAGCATTAACTGTAAGTAGGTCCGACTCCAGTCCCAACAGTAAAATGGTATCTGTTCATGCATAGATTAAATAATACTTATATAACATATAACATATACTTTAACAATGAAAGTACATTTTAGAATATTTGTGGCAGCAGTGAAACATTTTTTATAGTGTTAAAATGTTTATTTAAGAAATTAACTGTTTTTTTTCTTAGAATGAAGAAAATTAATCATGTCTCAAAAACTTGAAAACTATAAAAATGTTTTATGTCTCACTCTAACAAACTACACGAAGCCAAAGAACTCAAAGAACTATTTGTTATGACAAAAATTTTCAGAAGAGCGTCTCTGAATGTACAACATTCAACCTTGAAGCAGATGGGCAGCACCACATCGGTAGAGGAATTGCTTTATCAGTCAGATTAAGCTGGTGAATATATGCAGCTTTGATGTCCTGTTCACCACGGAAATAATCAAAGTTATGATTCTCTGCACATTACTTTAAAATTATTGTCTAACTACAGTGAAAGTATTAACAACATGGCTGCTACGTGCTGAAAAATGCTTTCAGAATGACTGGCAATAGGCTTAGATTAGCTTGTTAGCCTTTTTTTTTTGTCTGTTTTATTATTGCGTTAGATTGATAATACTCTGAAGAACTGTATAGTGATAAATAATAACAAGAAAACAGTTCGTTATCTATGTATGGATTAAAAGCTAGGAGCAAGGGGAGACAACTAGCCTAGCTAATAGTAAAGCTCCCAAATGAGCCATATTAGATGTTTTTCTGCTTGCTAACTAGCTAGCTTGTTAAGCTCCTGGGCTCCTACTCCACAAACATAAACAGTGGTCACCTCAGAAACATAACAAGCTACCAGATTTGCTCATGTGGGTTGTAAATGATTAGAGAAAACAAAGTTCGCCCAAGTTAAGATTTGTTGTGAAACCTAAAGATGACCATATTGCAAACATTACTTATTATAATTAAATAATATTAAGGCTAAAGATTATTAGAACCTACAGAAGTTCATTTAAAACTTTAGGGGAGGTAACAACGTTTTCAGATAGTAAATCAGATATGTTGGGTTTTATATTTATTTTTGTCCATGTATCCATATAACATTTTAATTGAGGTTTTACTGACATATAACCACTACAGACTACAGACATACTATGATCATTTTGCGTCGCACTTTTTCACTTGCAGCCAATTGCAGACAAGCATGAGAAAACTACCGGTGACCATGGCAATCTGCTAGCAACAAAGCAATGACTGCAAAGTTTTTGGTGGGTTGCGTGACTATAAAGGCTTTATGCTTGTTTTATGGTTGCGTGGTTACATCTGTTTGCGGTGTTTGCCTACACAAAGCTTATAGATAAGCGTTTTCAGATTAGATTAGATAAAACGTTATTAATCCCTCGGGTGGGTTCCTCTGGGAAATTCAGCCTATGCAAATGTGTTCCCGTTCAGTCCTTAAGGCGTGTAGCTCAGGTTGCTTGGAATCAGCGAAAAAACATCAAAGATTTAAAAAATACTGTATGTAAATTAGAGACAGTGGCTGCAGTGGACAGCAGTCTTTATATATTCAACAAAATGCAGGAGCATGATACAATACTTAGAGTGGAATAAACTTATTTTTCCCCAATCTTAAACCTTTTAAAGGGAAAAGGCTCATGTTTCAACATAAAATTTAGCTATATTTACTCAGATATGAATTTTCTGACATTAATGTACCTGCTGTGATCTCTTTTTCGCCCACCAGGATGTCTTTCAGTGAGAAAGGTGTTGAGGCATACTTGTCCTTCTTCCAAAAATGCTTCCTCCTCTTTCTGGTAACCAGGCTGAGGGGCTGGTAGCGGTCAGCCTCACTCAGGCTCGGGACAGGGATCAACCTCCCTGTGTCTCCCACCTGCTTCACAAAGTTTTTGGTCGCTGCAGCAAACATTTCTAAAGATGCATAAATATCGAACCAGGTAAAAAAAACAGCTTGTACTTGACTGCTGGGCACCCTTTGCTTGTATTGGTTATGGTGAGGAGTGCTCTCTCTCAATGGGGAAGCTGATTCGGGAGTGTTCTTACAAACTCGTGAAATGTTAAATAATGCAGGGAATTTGTAAGGGAATATGGGACAGTGAGGTGTGTGTTAACCTGATAGGTTGCTGTAGGCCTGCACCTTCCTGTCACCTGACAAATAAGGTGGAAGAAGTAATTATAAGGTTTTTTTTTTACTTTTTGCCATCTGTATTTGGAAAATTTGATTTTCAAGGTATACTTAAAGTATGGAAGTCTATTGCTATTAAGTATTAAAGGAATTATACAGATGGTATTGTTGCTACATGTTCCTCTTTGAGTCTAATACACGAAACATCTGCTATGGCCATTAGTCTATCTTCATTCAGCCTGAAAACGGTCTGGACTTTTTCTCTTTGTCAGGGATGCCTCTGTGGTTTTTGTAGGATTAAATGTTTTTGCATCTGAGCTTTTTTTAGTTTGGATAATGTCAACCTTTCTGACTGGTGGCTTCCACACACAGTGTGTCCTGCATGCATGATGGTGGGTTGATCTCTCCTGTGGTTGCACTGCTTTCTAGTCTATACAACCAGAAATAGTATGTTTGAAGGTTTAAAGCTTTCTTGCCACAGAAGCTAAAGACAGCGTTAGCTTTCTATGCATTACACTCCCTTTAATTTTTTAACTTTTAGGTCAAAAAAGTCATGGATTTGCTTGTAAGTATTATTTTTGTGTTTAAAAAAAATCTTGCTGTAATTCACAGTTATATTGTTCTAAGTTGTAACCTCACCTTCTGTCACCAGTTTAGGCCATTTCATCAAGAAAACAAGACTCATTTTTGTACATAAAAATGTAGGTTTATGAGGTTAGGGTCGTATACCAGCTTTAACCATTGTGACAAATCACATTAATGAGAGTAAAACATGTACTGTTGACATGCTCAGTCTTCCCAGAGAAACTCAACAGGCAACAAGGTTGTTTGACAGTATAACCCCCATGACCTGAAGTGAAAAGGATATCTTCTCTAACCATTAGTCCATCACAGCAGGGAAAAAAGTGCATGGATATACAGAACCTGAGCTCTCATTTGACAGAGGAACTGACTTCCCATCTGCCTGAGTTTTTGTCCCTGGTGGCTTCATGATGAGAAATCAGCGTGTTCTTCAAGCACCTGAAACACTTCCTGTCTTGTTCAGCAAAGGAAACAAGTGAAATCCACCTCATCCACTGAGAGAAATGTTACTTTAGGAAGACCCTGACAACTCAGCTGAAGCTAATATTACTCATGAAAACAAACATATTCTAGTGGAGACAATGACAGAGGAGTCATGGTGTTTGTTTTGCCATCCACCTCTGGGACATCACCTTGGGGACTGAGGATCAGCTTGACATAGTGACTTGGCAGACAGCTTTTATCTGGAAAACAGATTGAATGGATGTAACATGCGCACCGTATACCACTCCAGCTGGAGTGCACAGATGTTGGACAGATATATCAGGTTGATAGCAAAGTTTCCAACAAATTCCATCTGGTACTAAACAAAGAGATAAGGATTTGTATAAACCGCTGTAAATGTAGTTTCATGTGGACACTAAATGTTCGCAAATTACACTGAAATCATCAGAAATCATCAGCTAGAGCAGCGGTCCCCAACCTTTTTTGGGCCACAGACCAATTTAATATCAGACTTTATTTTCAGGGATCAGCCTTTAAGGTGTCGCAGATAAATACAACAAAATAAAATGATACAATCAAGACAAAAACTGTGGTATTTTGTAAATATAACAATAAACACAAATTCACTGTGTAGTTGTGTTTAACTTTAACTTTATTAGCAGCGTCCTCCTGAAATGCGCCAACAACATTGAGAGCAACTTCTTCCTCTCTGCCCCTTAAATGCTCTCTGGTTGCTATGTTAACACATAAATATTTCTTTCAAAATAAGACACACAAGTACAACTCGGGAAAAGACCCAGGAAACCGAGTTAACGATAAAACCCCTGAAAACCTTAAATTTCACACCTGAGCCTCAATTCTCGTGGCCCGGTACCAAATGACTCCCCAACCCCTAGGCCACGGACCCAGGGGTTGGGGAGTCCGCTGAGCCGGATTATCCCTAATGGCGGATTATTATAATCTAGGAAAAATGGCAAAGATAACATAGTTTGACAGACATAAAATTGATTTTTTTCACCAATACATTGATTCTCAAAGCGCTATTAGCTGAAAACTTAGCATAGCACGGTGGAGGCTGTGTCATGGTTTGCGTCAGCCAGTGGTGTTCTGTTCAGTGGAGATCTGTTAAAACTGATAATTTATGAATTCAGAAAAGTACAATGAGATTTTGATACAGCATCTGGAAAGTATCTAACTGGTAACAGCTTCATTTTTCAGCATTACAATGATCCCGAACACACTGTCAATACAGTAAAATCATACCTGAATAGAAAAACACAGTAGAACACTATCGGTCATGGATTGGCCTCCCCAGAGCCCAGACCTCAAGATTATTGAAGCAAAAGGCAGTCAACTAGACTAATTCACTAAATGTAATTCAATTCAATTCAATTTTATTTATATAGCACAACAAAAGTCACCTCAAGGCGCTTTATATTGTACAGTAGATACAGAGAAAA